CAAAATTATCATCATTTCCTCCATACACAAATCATTGCAATAAAAATTTTATATTAACGTAGAATTAAATAATTAAACTGCTTATGAGAAATAACACCATTAATAGGGAAATAGAATAAACAAAAATATGTAAACAATTTATAAAGCAATATACTAATATTTAAATAAAGAATTTTTTATAAACACTTTACTGAAAATATATTCAAAACGCCATCCACTCACCTGAGAGTCTCCAAGAATTTTAAAACTTGACCCCCTTAAATTCTCACTTACTTCTGTAATTCTTCAAATAATCTTACACATAATCCAACAATATTCTTGTCATTATGAATTTTTCTTCTTATAATAAACAAGCAAAATTAACATTCAAATCCTTCAATAATTCTTTAAGTTTCTCATTAACTCCTAAAACTCTCATTGAATCCTCCAACAACTTCTATCAAGTAGAGCAACAATACTTAGCAACACTCAACTTTAACCATTAATTTAGCTTTTATTCCGAACTTAATAAAAATCTTAATTATCATATAGTTTAACAATTTCCTTTTAGTGCTACATGATTTCAATGAATAGTTCAAATTTACAAATTGTATGTAAAGACATATATTTCATTAACAAACTATCCAACTTCAAGGATCCAAATAATCGCATATCATTATTTTTTTTTTGTTTTGTAGATCACCTTTGCAACATCCTCTAGCAAACATTTCAACAAACATCTTATAGGCACTAATATTCAAGTTTTATATTTAAACTATTCTCTTCCAACTTCACCCTAACAAATTCTTCAACATCATCCAATCTAAATAGAATTAGTTCAGCTCAAAAATTATGACCCATGAGTATATCATTCTCGAGCTTTAAGATAAATTAGCAGCTCAATATTTGAATTGTCTCTTCCCTATAACAGCACAGCAGCAACAGAACACACGCTAAAATTCAGTAATTTCACGAACACACAGAGCAATCCACACTCTAACGCACAGCAACAACAGTCCACACTCACAAGTACAGAAAATTATTTCCAGTTCAATTTAAATTTCTTCCTTCTTTCATCACACGGACAGCAGCAGGGCATAGAACAAAATTTTGCAACTTCAAACACAACAACAGAACACACTCACATGCACAAGAGAACCAACGATAGAGGAAGAAGAAGAAGAAGAAATCAAAGCTTCCTATTTATTTATTTATTTTTTTCAGAATCAGAGATGCACGAAAAGAGAGAAGAAACAGAAGCTTAGCTGAACAGGGAGAAGGATTAAGCAGTAGACCTCCAGCGAGCAACCAGAAATCTTGCGTGCTTCCCTTCCCATGAACCGACTTAGATCACATCAACAAGAACAGGAGGGAAAGAGAAGCATTAAGGCGTGAACACATGGAAAAAAGACCAGAGAAAATAACAAAGAACTCATGCTAGGAATCATAACAGACTCACGGTGGGGAGGACACGAGCAGGAATGACGAGGTTCGGCAAGCAGAGGAGGAGATTAACAGCGATGAGCGCAATCTGACGGTGAGGAAAGAGTTCGATGGTGAGGGGAGAAGAGAGCTCAAAGTCGGTGAAGAAGCGAAAATGGAATGCTCTGTTTTCTTACTTTCGCCCGAAGACATATAACTGATCAAGAAGTTTGGGAAAATTTGCAAGAAAATGACGAGAAAGACCCAAGGAAAATTACAAAAAGACCCAAAATTCTTCTAAGATTTTAAATAAAAATAAAATCAAATTTGCTAAAAATACCTTGTTTAAAAAAAAATCCCTTAAAAAAAATTTTTGTTCAATTTAAAATTTAGGGCTTCTACATATATAAACACTTTAATAAGTTGCAATATTTATATGAGCTATAAATATCAAGACTCATTTGAGACTCATACAGTGCACAGAACTTATAACTAGTCCATAAAAATATTCAACCCACCCTAAAGGATGTGTGGGTGTGTTGTCAATTGTGTGCGTAAAGCGAGCGAAAGAAATTGTAAGTGCAGTGAGTGAAATGAGTGAGCGTGTGCTGTGAAAGAGGAGACCAAGGGGGATCGTGCGGAGTGAGAAGAAAGATATATAACATAAGGAATTGTTTGGTTACAAGAGAATATGGGAAAGGAATTGATTAAAAAAATAACAAAAATAATTTAAATCATCCTTTCACCCAATTATAGCAAAACCTAATATTCCCTACCATAGAACCATCATACAGTCTACAAACATTATGAATCATTATCCCAATCTTATTAACTAAATTATTTTTCTTTTTAAAATTTTATGATTGATTTATCTTTTTTTTTAACATCTTGATTGGTCTATTTTTATTTTTAATCTATTCTATTCTTTCCCAGCAAGTGAAAGGCGTTGAAGCAAGTGAAGTGTGCTGGCGAAAGCGTGTACGTGAAAAGTGAATGACAATGACATGACAAATTGAAATACTATATTGTGTTGAAAAGTCAAAGTGAGTTTATATAAATTATTGCTTGAGTTAGTATATAGTAAAAAAAAAAAATCATTCAAGTCTCTCTTTCCTTATAAAAAACTTACCCTAATTAGTTGGAGTTCTCACTCAAATTTTAACAAAAAAGGCATGTAAACATATATATACCTTCACATGCCTTAACGTGCCACGCAACTGACTTTACAGATTGACATACAATCCTATGGTTAGATTTTACTGTTCTGAAACTTTTTTTTTGGCCGGAAAGAGGAAATCAATAAAACTCAAACAGGGAAATAACACCATGTTTAGAAAAGAGAGATACACTAGCAAAAGAAATAAAAGAAAGGAAACCAAGGGACAAAAGGATAGAGAAAGTTAGATTCCTGGATACGTCAAACAAATGATCTAGGAGAGAAACCAGAAGGGATGGGGGCTTGTTAGCTTGATCCGAAGAGCATATCCCTATCACTGCAGTACAAGCAATCCATACAATAGCTTAAAAAAGAGAAATTGGATTTCATTGAAAGATGTAACAGCTTAGTTACTTGCCAAGATTAACAAAGAAATACTCGAAGGTTGAACAAACTAAACATCTTCTCTCAGTAAACACTTCAGCCAGTGGGAGATAATCTAATTCTCTAACAAAATCCCCATGATTGTTGCTCAAACCATCAATACCAACTAGCAATTTCTCATTTGCATCATCCAAACATTTACTATTATGACTGCAATCAGAATGCCCAAGGCAAAAGAGACTATGCCCTCGACAAATCAAGTCATTTCCAAACAAATTCAACTCAAATTGTTCCATAGCAATATAAATGCGTTGCCCATAGTTAGAAGGAACCCGTCTCAAATCATCCATAACTCTGCCAGCAAAAGATTTAAACAAACTCACAATAACAAAGTAAAGGCAAAACCACAAGAGAATTTAATCCTGATCAAAGAAATACTCTTCAAATCAGGTAAAATGTAATGTGGGCTGAGAGTAATTCAAGTGAAGACTCAAACTCAGTGCCATACTTTAAATCATTAAAAATATTTAGCCATCCATCTCCACCAACAGATTCATGTGTCTAGATAAAGGTACCCAAGCAAATCATGAAGGACAAATCAAATTAGAGTGAGAATTTGCCGGCAATGATTTTCAAGAAACATCAAGAAAGTATACAAGGAAAAAGTACACCAATAAAAGAGCCAAAAAAAACTAAATTAAACCTATCAAATAAGTCCTGCATAGCAAAATCAGAGACCCCCAACCTCATATTGTTCATCCCAAATTGAGTATCTTGGAGGAGATTATTCCATGACTAGACTAACGCAATCTCAAGAATGCTCATCATCTTCATTACCAAAGACATTGAGGAAGCCAAGCACTCCATCAATGACATAGACTATGTTTTCATTCACACATCACTGAACCAGAAGGCACCCATCGTAAGTCACCAACACCACCGCTATAGACAAGACTAGCAATCCAGAATCGATTAACCATGGCTGACGATCGATTCCCTTCTCCTGTGCCACAGATTCATATTCAAGTCCCGTTGACATTTCTACATTCATCGCTTCAATCATCAAACCCATTATCATCAGATATACCATTTTCCCCATGGGCATGGCCGTAGAAAAAAAAACATCCCAATCTTGATTGCACAACTACGACCTCCATTAGTGTCGAAGCCGCTGAACCTATCACCCACAAAACCACCTTCCGGAAACACCGTACCCTCATCAACCAACGTCCCCAACACACGCACACCCTCTACCACACCACTCCCGGCAATCGCCACGGAGAAGAGTAGCAAAGATCACTGCTACCAAGAGAAGAGGAAACCCTCCCTAAGGAAGAGACCCTTGCAAAGGAGAGGGAAACCCTAGAGGTTTCAGAGAGACACATTGCCCTCAGCCAAAAAGCCGTTTCGAAACATTAATTAGTTCATTGCTATTTCAAAATTGAAGCAAATGCATGAAGTATGAAATGGAGAAGGTAGATGAGCTACCTTTGACTTGTCAGTGATGAAAGGAGAAGGTAGATGAGCAACCATTGATTTGCCTGTCATAACTCCTACGTTTTCTTTCCCACACAGTAGTATAAATAGGGCCCCTTATTGTTGTTGAAAGACATAATAAACCGGTATCCTTCAAAAAGTTGTTTTCTTTCCAGTTTCTATACCAAAGTGTCTCATAATTATTATATATTTTGTCTCCGATGATATTAATAGGGGCAGAAGATGAGGATTATACTCTCCATCTTGGGATCCTACTGTATATATTAATGGAATTAGTATGTTTTTATTTATTTTTTGCTTTCGTACACATTTCTTTATGTTGCTGTTTATATAAATGATGATGAAAATTTGTCTCCCACAAAACAAGAACAGTAAAAAATTGAAAGTTCAGGGATTGAAATCAAAACCACCTAACTCCTCTCGTTTATTATTAAATGAAAATCTTTCACCCCAAGAACTGAATTAAAGATTTAAATATCCCAAATTACTAATTAACATTATTTTAATTTACCACACTTGATTACAATTTATGACTGGTGCTTAACAACATATAATAATATATCTATAGCTTGCTGGGAATGTTGGATCTATGAGGAAGTTGCAGACGCTCCCAATTCTCATTTTCAACCATCCTTAAGTATTGATTCACGATCTCTTCGCTAACCAGCTCCAGCTTTGAAGGATCCCACTAATCAAAACACACAGACCCAAATAAATAAATAAATAAACAGGCAAAAAAAAATATTTATAGTTTTCGAGAGAATCACTTAAATTACGAAAAGTCGAGGTAATAGAATAAGAGATGCTATCGTTTACCATCGGCTTTTTGTCTTTATCAAATAGCTTTGCTCTTGTGCCCTGTGAAATGAAAAAATTACAGCCAGTGTATAGTATTTATAAGACACATGAAAAAAATATCCATCCTATTGTATAATGTAAAAAAAACAAAACACGTATCTAGATATGATGAAAAAAGTTGGAGTCATAAATATGTTTTATCCAAAAGTATTACTCTATTTTGCTTAATGGGATAAAGAATAAGCGATAAATTTATTGCCGTTAAAATTATGCATTTTTTGGTAAATAAAAATTATACATTTAGCAAATATATATATAAGTAAAATAATTGTGTTTGTTCTAGTGCTGACCTCATAGAAATCATTGCTGACAGTTCTTAGTATAAAATGGGAGCCAATATTGTAATCTCGACAAAGGCATTGTTCAATGCTTTGCACTCTGCCTTCTCTCACCTGATCAAATTCAAATTAATTCATTTCATTATCTCAACAATTTAATGTCCCAAATTATTTTTAATTTGTGATAACATTATATACTTACAGATCTTAGCCATATCTTGAGGCTTGAAGGACAAGACGTACGAACGTAACTTAACGCATCGGTGATCCACTCCACTGCTCCATTAACTTCTATTTCTTTCTCCTGTGAAATTTTTGTGTCATATCATCCAAACAAGACATTCTTATTCTTAGCCAAGTAATTCAAATTTCAATTTTTTTTTCTGAGAAAAAAGAATAACAAGTTCAACCATATAGGAGACATACCAAGGACAGTACAATTTCCTCAACAGTTCCTTTTGAGAAACATTTGTTAATGGTGTCAAGTCTGTTTTGTTTGTGAATGCGAGAAAAACAAGTGGAAGACAATGCGTGTTAAATCTAATTAATTAAGAAAAGATGCATGCATAAAATTAGAGAATATATAACCACAAAATTAATTAATTACCTGGTAAGGGGGCTCTCTTCCTTCAAAAATGCTACTTCTGTAAATTTATTTATTACTGCAGCAATTGTTGATTTGTCTGATGTTGTGATAGATTGCAGGGCATTTTTCAGCAAGTCTAGCTTCTATTGCAGGGAGCAAAGTGAGGTAAAATTTACCAATTAATACATCATCATAGTCACCACTATAGTTAATTTGTAGCTACGGAAGAGCTTCTCTTTAAGCCCGGCCTTCATTTGTGTGTGTGTGTGTGTGTTAAGTACGTGCAAGATCTCCAAAAGTGTCTCAAGATGGAAAGATATAAATATATGGAGGGGAGCAGTTTTAGTGATGATAAGCGCCAATCTGGACTATCCATATTTGATACAATTAAATTTAAAAAAATTAATCTTTTAATGCTTCAATTTTTAACTCACTTATAACTCAATACCTCAACTATAACTCAGTCACTCAGCTATAACTCGATATGACTGATCAGTCCCTCAACTTTTGACTTACTTATGACTTGGTTCTTATTTTTCAAAAAAAAATTTAAATTATCCTTATCAAATAAGAGAGATAAAAGAAATGCTCATATCTTACTCTAAAATACCCTCCTCTTACTCTTTGATATGGGATCTAAGCTAATATAAAAAAAATATAGAGAAAAAAAAATTGAGGGACTAATTCATAGGCGTGTCAAAAATTGAGAAATTGAGTCATAAGTGAGTCAAAAGTTGAGGTATTAAATCGCAACAAGTCATAATTAGGTAACCGAGTTATAAGTTAGTTAAAAGTTGAAACACTAAAAAATTAATTATTTTTCCTTAAATTTATTTGTATATATTTTTATATTATTATTATTTTAATATGTGCAGGTTAAATTAAAAAAAATTAACTATGAGTTATTAAAATCAGTTCTAATATCCAAATCACACTATAGAATTATGGTGCTTGTTACTATGATGAGTCCCAAAACTTGACTTATGGAGGTATGAATTTTGATAAATTGGTATTAGGATTAAAGTTGCGATTAGGATTTTAAATGTACGTTTGGCATAGGGTAATATTTGGATGGAATGCTTGCATTAGAAATCATCAAAATATTATAATGCCCTTATCATTGACCAAAAAAAAAAAAGCCATGACCTAGAAAAAGAGGATGAACAGATCGCGAAATTTGTTGCCTGAAGCCACTGTCCATCACCTAAAGTCAATTCTCTCCTCACAAGCCCGTCCATCCGTCCGTCGCCTGAAGCCACCGTGAAGTCCATTATGCCCATCCTATCTCTCCGTCCTTCGATTCGTTAAAGCTCGTCTGTCATGTCACCGAGCTTAGAACCCAGCAATAGTGAACTCGAACCTGCGACTTACTGTGGAAATCGATGGTGGAAAGAAGATGAACCCAGATCTAGCAAATAATGACTCGAACCCATTAATGCCAAACTCGAACTCGAATCAGCGTCGTCGAAAGCACAGTGTAGTCTAGGGGCACAACGTCGTTGAACCCAGATATCTCTATTGTTTTCAATCTTGGGGCACAGCATCGCTGTGGATGGTAGAGGTGGAGACGCCAGCGTCACAGTAAATGGCATAGGTGGAGGTTGGAGATGACTCGGATGAGGCAGTGCGTAGTGTAAAGGGCAATTTGGTCTAAAAAATTGTAATCCTAGGATTGATTTTTAAATACCAAGAGAAGGTGGTACTAGGCATTCCTATCTATATGGGATTGTGCTTGATAATAAATTTGCCATTCTCACCTAACAAACATAAAACCTCGGTATTACCCAATCCCACTTTAGGCCCACTTGTGAGTCTTCAACTAGTCTAATACCGGTCTTCACTAGGACGATCTTGTACGTGTATATATGGAGAAAATCCTAAAACACGTAGAATGAAGAGACATACCTTGGAAGGAACAAAATGAGTAGCAAGGCCACATTCAACCATTTCGGCTCCATTCAAACGTCTTCCTGTTAATCCCAAGTACTCGCCTATGTAATATAGTGCACATATCACAATCAGTAACAACTAAAACAAGTAGGGCTAATAATAGTTTTGGCTGATTTTCATCCTAATATCATACTTCATCTATCCCAAATTATAAGACAATTTAAGATAAAATTATGCATAATACTAATAATAAAATACAATAATTACACTTTACAAACTTTTTTCAAAATAAAACTATAAACTTTTAAAAATACCTTTATATATTTAATCATTAAGTTACAATGTCATTTCAATTTTCTATTCATTTAAAAAATAATATTGAAAGAGTATTATTAATAAAACCTCAGTTTTCTCATATTGTTTTATACTTTGAAGCAAAAGTTTTCTCCATAATTATCTTACAATTTGGGATGGGGGGCAAGTACTCAAGTTTTATTTGGCTTCTCTAGTTAGAAGCCAAACGTTTTAATCCATATTAATGAAGATATCCAAGTGAACAAGTGACATCCGACTATTACCAAAATGGCCTGGAAGCCTTGACAGAAAGTAAGAAGCACCCACATCTGGAAAGAGTCCTATAGATGCCTCTGGCATTGCAAAAACCTACGAAATAATTGATACAGAGAAGTTGACATTCCATGTCATTTACGAACTCCCAAACTAACAAAGTCCAATTAATGACCTCAAATATGAACTTTAACGTTAAGAAGATGAAACATACAGCTTTTTCAGTGACAATCCTGAAGGTTGTGTTCATGGAGAGACCAGCTCCTGCTCCCATAACCGCTCCATTAATCAAAGACACCTTCCATTATTTATTTTGCATAAACAATTCATATTTCATTCCCACATTCAATTGAACAGTCATTCTTTAAACTTAGAAAATAATTTTGGTGTTGGCAAAGCTCACCACAGGTTGTTTGTAGGTCGCTATCAAATAGTTGAGTGTGAGAAGTTTCTTATAAAAAGGAATAGTGAAAGACCAGTGACCTGATTCCATTCAGCAGATGATACACATGTCAGTCCCCAATGTCTCCGTTTTATTTTATTATTTCATTTGTTTTAACTCTACCTGCAATTGATGAAGCAATTACTGATATCAGATCACCACCGGTACAGAATGCTTTTCCATTAGCCTGCAACGTTTGAAAAAACATAAACAATCAATTATAACTACAACAATTCATTTATTATAATAGGTCTAGCTTAATTGTCTGTACAATATTAAGAAGTCAATAATACATAAGGGGAAATGCATATATAATTGTACTTGGATTTTCTGCTGCTCATTTACCTTCAAAATGACCAGTTTAACTGATGGGTCATTCTCATACAATATCAATTTCTGTGTCATCTGACAAATCTGCAAAAAAAAAAAAAGAAAAGAAAGAAAAAAGGTATAAGAAGTAAACAGGTAACTTCAAAAAATTAATTTATTTAGGGGTTCAGACCCAAGCCTATGACTACTGTTCTCCAAAATGGTTCCTACCAGTTAAGTTTCTGTATAGAAAAATTTTGCAAGTTCATGGAAAAGAGGGCATTTTTTAATTAAATTTAATCTTAAATAGAAATTTGCAATTTTCTTAAAATGATCGCTTCTAAAGAATGATTAGATATATTCGACAATGTTAAGACTATATTGTCTGCCAAAGTTAACAGGTCAGATCTCAATGAAGTTGCTAGCTTATGGAAACGGTAAATTTGCGATCCTAAGATTTATGAAGGTTTATAATGAAGGAAATTTACGCAAAATTCAAAAAACAGAACATAATCAATTGAGAGAAAATATAATAAGTGATGAAGGTTTGAACTCACCATTTCGTGATTAAGGCTATTCAGCTTGTGAGGCCTATTTAGTATCACTTCCTTCACACTCGGATTTCCGGCGAAAAGCACCTAAAAGACGGTCATGGTATGTATATTCCAAATTATTAAAGTGGATAAGACTGTGTGTTTGGAGATAATCTAAAATAAGGGGAAATTGGTATAAAGGACCAAAAGTAAACTTATTTGGCAGAGAGGACCGTCCAAGTAGAAACCTTAAAGATACATTCACTAAAAAAAATTGATTTTTAATAGTGACTTTTAAAAATTGCTGCTGAGAACTTTTGGTGGTGACAAAAGGTCTTCACAATGTTGCCACAAAAGCTTCTATCACTGATTCTATAAGCAGCAACTATAATATTGAAAAGACCATGCATGTTCTAAGTTCTAAGTAATTGTATATAGTTTTCAGAAATAGAAAAAAAAAGATGAAGATTATGTAGAAGAAGGAAATACCTGGTTTATTTCACTGACAAAGCTTAATCTCAGAGCCATTGCAGGAAATGATACGCAGATATAATTAACAGAACATGCTTGATATCTATATATTTATACATATACAGATATAATGCTAAAAGACACAACTTTGTAAGGGGAGGTGAAGATGCGCAACGTGGAACTTGTGCCCCATGAAACACATGGAATTGCCACTATTACAAGTTGAGATGAGCCTCTTGAGGTTTAAGTCAACTGGTTTCGTTTTGAACTCCTTTGGAATAGCTAGCTAGATCATATATATATATATATATATATATCAAGAAAGTGGTTGTACAAGTAAGCAGCATATATAGAAACCAACTTTCACCAACAAACAATAAAGGAAAGGAAAGGAAAGGAAACAGAAGAAAAGGGAAAAAAAATTAAAAATGACATTGAGAGACCACTTTAGAAAGGTACATTATAGGGACCACCAACTCATCAAATTACCGAGAAGGAACAAGGTTTTCTTTTTTAAAAAAAAAAGTAAAGAAAAGAAAACGCCCTTAAAGTGGTCGACAACATATATCTCGGTTGTAACTTTTTGAAGTATATAAAAACTAAGGCTTGTGTCTGAAAAAATAAAAGATCAATTGAATTGTATTAAAAAATTACAACCAATTTGTAACTCATGTTTTAAAATTTTCTTTATTTTCTAATATTTACAATTGAATTTTTGAAATTTATTGCAGCTGACTTTCTGAGATTTCCAATTGAGCTATCGTTACCAATTATGCATATGAAGGCATTTTTTTGTCGATTTACTGTTTTTTTTTTAAATAGTCCAGATCCTTATCTACAATGTTAACAATCGACGTGGTCCTTAATAGTGCAACTAATGTGCTAAGTACAGTAATCTATAAATGCCATTGTTTAAAAAAAGAAAGAAACTAAGAAGTGATCGGAATTAAGATGAAGATGAAGCCTAAAATGGTAAAGGTGGGATCCATATGAGGTAGAGATAGGGGTGAGTATCGGTCGGTTCGATTCGGTTCAATCCCAAAATATGCAAAATCAATCAATCGAATAACACTAAAAATGAAAACCAAATCGAATCGAACAAATCAATTAAACTGAATAAGGACTAAACTGAAATTTGATAATTCGGTACGGTCGGTTAATTCAATTTTTTAGTTTTATATTGGACTATTGAAATTGGGCTCATTTTTTTAAATATTAAAACAAACAACACTATAAAATTGAGCTTTTTTTTCTATTTGTTTTTTTTAATGAGCCCATTTTAATTACACTCATATGATATAAAGTCCAAATATTATAAAGGCATGAATAATCAAATAAACAACCACAAATAAACACCGATGATCAAATAATGGCCCCATAATTCAGTTAGAATACCATAATCCAGTCACAACACCACCTGATAAAAGTGACTAACTGAAATAGAGGTTCAAGTGATATTATTATTTTTTATTCTTTATTACAATAAAAAATAAAATAATTTATAAATTAAATATAATTTAAAAATTAATAAATTATATATAATTCAGTCGGTTCGGTCTATTCGATTTTAAATTTTATTAATCAAATCGAACCGATCAACTAAAATATTTAAAATAAAAAAACTGAATGGAACTGAAAAATTAAATAGACCGAATTAAATAGACAAAATTCAATTCGATTCGGTTTGATTTTTTATTTTGATTCAGTTTTGCTCACCTCTGGGCAGAGGGCATATTTATGACAATTCCTTGAGATGGCATGCGAAGCATATGTCTCTTTCGTTGGCCTTCTTGTCTCCCCATATTTATGATCTTTCTTTATTACCAAATTAAAATAGCTTTATTTGTTTCAAAAATTTTCTACAATTGATGCTTCAACAAACAACCTAGATGCCAAAGGCCTTGAGTTCCAACTAGGTAATCCCTCCATCACAAATTATAAAACATTTTTGAAAGAAATTTAGCGTCTTAAAATATAAGACACTTTGACAAAAATAAAATTTTATTAATAATATTTTTCTAATATTATCATTCCTGTAATGGAGGGCATTTTTAAAATTTTGTATTTGTCTTGAAAATACAAGCTTGTAAAGTTTATTTAATTAACTTTATTAATATATATAATTTTATCTAGAGTAAAATACATTGACATATCCTCTATTTTACTTTAATTACAGATACATTCCTACTATTTTAAAAACCTATACAAACATGCCATAGAATCAATAATCACAAAATACAAACCTCCCTTCTACTTTAAAGATTTCATTTCCATCCACCTAAATTGTTAGTAGATTGTTAAGTCATATTTATTGGAACAAAATACCATTTTTAAACATAAATGATACCTGAAAATCATTTAAAATACCAAAAAAATAATGCATATAATTTCTTTTACTTTTTTATTTATATTTTATTTTATTTATGTAAAATTATTCATTTATTATTTAAAAAGATATATATATAAATTGTCTAAGATAATATTTCAAAAACATATGTAAAATACTTTATTAAATAGGCATTCAATATAAGAAGATAGAAATTAGTTAATATAATTTATGTTTATTTTATGTAAATTTTATCAATTTAAAGTTCATTAAATTTTGGAGAGAAAGCATACAATTCAATTTTAAGGACAAATTAGTAATTATAAATTTTTCAACATAATTAAAAGGAAAACATTAAATATTTTAGAATATTTAACGGAATATTTTTAACAGTGTTAAAAATTGAACTAAAATGTTTGTTTTGAACATAGGATAGAGGTCCCTGTAATTTTAGTAAAAGAAGAGAGATTACAGTATTTTTACTCGCGTTTTATAATTTGGAAGGGAAGAGTATAAGGTTTAAGTAAATAATGGAGGGTGTTAAGGATCTTATTATTTTTGTTAAATTTTAGAATTTTATGTAATAATATCAATGTTATAACAAATTATTGGAAAAAAATAATGATTTGATTTAAAATTAAATAGAAAATAATTAGATCTGAATAAGTCAAATTTCAATACAAACCGTCCAGATGAGGCGAATGCACCGAAGCCCAGTCACGGCGGTGGAATGAATGAGAATGATGGACGAAGAAATTAAAGGAAGACTATCCAATGGGTCCAAGTGGTGTTTTTTTCCCCTTTCATTTCATAATCTCACCAGTTGGAATAGTGCAGGCCTCAAAACTCAAGTGAAATTTTTTGACAACAATTAAATTTCATGTTTAGTTTTATTGTAAGAAATTTTAAATAATTTTTTAGTTAAAGTATCTTAAAATATAAAAAAAATCTTTCAACTACATGATATTTTATTACAAGTCTAATGCGAGTCATTTAACAAAATATGATAAATAAACTGTGTATTGATCATTTTTTATGTTATGCATAGATATAATAATCATATAAATGATACTTCTATTTCCTAGTCAATGAAATTAATTTTGTACTATGTATATATGTGCATGTCTTTCAAGAGTAATCTTAAATATCCCCCCTATCACATTAAACTTGTTTCACTATCTTTATTCACATTAAACTATGATGCATTGACTTCAACATTTTGAAATAAAAAGAACATACACGTGCCATAATGGTTTTAAATACAGTACACACAACATACCGGCCGATTCAAAGCACCTGCGATCACCCATGCATGTGAGTCATACCCAGTCCTAAACAAATTAAAGAACGTGTCCCTAAACCCTCCATTTGACAATCGAGGCAGTTGACGACATAAGATTATTCTTCCAAGATACTGCCAAATTTCATATTTATATAACTTTTTCCTTTTCTTCTTCTTAGTGTTGGTGTCTCTATATATATTCATCAATTCGAGGTAAGGAGTACATTTTCATCTCTATAGTTTCATCTTCCTTATTGTAGAAATGGCAGCTCTTTCACAACTTGCTCTTGAAGCAACACGGGATGTATGTGCCCAGCTTCTCTCCAATTAAAAACATTACTCCACTTCACTTAACATTCTGTTAGTTAAGATAGGGCTTGCATAGCTTTTTTTTTTTTTATAATATCGGCCTCTTAATTAAAATAATAATATTATAAGTACAAATTTAAAAGAAATGTTCATTTCAAAAAATTAGTTTGAGGGAGCCCTTCGAACTTATAAATTTCAGTAAATGTCCATTTCAAAAAATTAGTTTGAGGGAGCCCTTCGAACTTATAAATTTCACTTTATTGGCAAGAATTCTCATATCAGTGAGATTCATTACAATCTCCAAATTACTTAGTCCTAATTAATCTCTTCAAGAGGACATGCACAAAGCAAGCTTGTAAACTTTCCTTGTGTGGATACTCATCTGGAGAGGTCAAGATCTATATAAATGTGACAGTTTGTGTGTGGTTATCGTCCTTTTATTAATTTGACGACATGTATATATATATCAATATTTTCAGAATCGGACCGGACATTGAACCGAAAAAGTCAGTGGTTCACGGTTCGCATGGTTCAACCGGTTGGACCATTGGTCCAACCGCGACGTAATAATTAAATTAAAAAAATTATATATGTATATAGTAATTTAAATATAAGAAATACATATAAAATTACTATTTAACTTAAAAAATTACATATTTTAAGTTTATCACGA